AGAACATCTGTGGTTATCGGGGTGGAGTTTCTGGGTTTATAGTCACTGATGGCCTGGATGCCCTGCCACATGCGTCTGGGGTCGGAGTTGGAGAGTGTTCCTCAACCTTCAGCTTGTAGCAGTGCTTGGCCTTGACGATGCCCCTCCTCAGGTTTGCCCTGGATACGCTGTAGGCCATTGCATCATCAGATCTGAAGGCGGTGTTGCGGGCCTTCAGCAGGAGACGCACCTCCTTGTTCATCCATGGCTTCTGATTTGGGTACGTGGTGATCTGCTTCCATGTTGTAACACTGTCGATGTGGTGTTGATATAATCCAGCACAGAAGAAGTGTAGGTGTCAATGTCTGTGTGAGAGCCCAAGGTAGCCTGAGAAGCAAACATACTCCAGTCTGTGTGATGAACTTGTCCCGCTGGCCACACTTTAATCGTTGTTACTGATGGCTTCACACGTTGGATGAGTGGGGAGTACTTGGGGATGAGGAACAAAGAAAGATGGTCTGACTGTCCCAGGTGGGGGAGGGGGGTCGTGGTGTAGGCTTCTGCGATGTTTGTGTAAACATGGTCCAGAGTTTTGTTCCTCTTGTATTGCAGGAAACATGCTGGTGAAATTTAGGGAGCACTGTCTTTAAGTTTGAGTGATTAAAATCACCTGCAACTATAAATGCAGCCTCCGGTGAGCAGTCTGTTGTTTACTGATAGCGGTGTAAAGTTCCTTCATAGCAGCTTTTGCATCGGCATCAGGGGGGATGTAGGCTGCAGTTACAATAGTGGAGCTGAGCTCCCTTGGCTGATAGAAAGGTCTACATTTAACCATGAGAAACTCAATGTTAGCTGAGCAGTGTCTCCCAATAATGACAGAGTCTGTACACCAAGCTTTGTTAATATAAATGCACAGCCCTCCTCCTCTGGTCTTACTGGAGTCCTCTGCTGTTCTGTCTGCTCGGTGTGTGTGCGACCGGCTAGCTTGATAGCATCGTCCGGTACTCCGTTGTTTAGCCATGTTTCCGTGAAGATCATGACATTACAGTCCATAATTCTCTTGCTGTGGATGATGCGAAGTCGTAACTCGTCCATTTTGTTCACCAAAGACCGCACATTAGCGAGGAAAATGCTGGGTAACGGGAGACGGTGCGGTGTTAGCTTTAGCTTAGCTCTTATACCTCCGCGCTTCCCCCGCCTTTGTTTACGGTCTCGACGCCGCCTGCGAGCACTTCCGCCCGGCCGGGTAGAGTGCGTAGCCTCGGGTGTTTTGGCGATCTCAGGGATGAGTCGAAGATTGTTGATTAGATCGTCAGGGAGGTGTATTCCAATATCCAAAAGTTCCTGTCGGGTGTAGGATGTTAAGCGAGGCTGTTCCGTACGAACAGACCCGAAATTAACAATAAAATTACTGCAAAATTGCAAATCTGAGAGAGACGCTGGGCCTCGCGATGCGCTCGCGCCGCCATCTTGGTCAAATCAGATGGCGTCAAAAGCCGCACTAAGATCTAACAAGACGAGCACAGAGAGAAGTCCCCTGTCTGAAGCTAGAAGTAGATCGTTTGTAACTTTAACTAGTGTAGTCTCAGTGCTATGGTGGACTCTAAATCCTGACTGAAACTCCTCAAATAAACTGTTGTCCTGGAGAAAGTCACACAGCTAATTAGCTACCATTTTCTCCAAGATCTTTGAGATAAAAGGAAGGTTGGATATAGGCCTATAGTTAGCTAGAGTTCCTGAATCTAGAATAGGTTTTTTGAGTAGAGGTTTGATTACTGCTACTTTAAATACTGTGGTACATAGCCTGCCAGTAAAGACATATTGATCATATCTAATATAGAGTTGCTAACTAAGGGAAAGACTTCCTTAAACAGCTTGGTTGAGATTGGGTCTAAAAGACAGTTTGACGGTTTCAACGCAGAAATAATTGAATTTAGAGCTGAAAGGTCGATTGGAGAAAAACAGTCTAGACTAATATCTGGTTCTGGAACTGTCTCTGCTGTATCAGACGTATTGCACCAGGTAAGGGCATGAGGTGTGATGTCGCCCACTCTGGCCCCGGGTATACACCTAACTATGCCGCTGACTTCGCTAGCTTCACGTTTCGGACTATGGAGTCTCCAATAATCAGAGTTTTATTCTCAGTGGGTGTGTCGCTGAGTGGGGAAAATTTGCTTGAAACGTGAAGTGGTTGGTGGGGCACCATGTGCTTCGATTTTCGACTATGCTTCCCTCGGACAGTAACCAGCCACTGCCTCCCGGCTGCTCGGGAGTTACCGGGGGAAGCCAAGCTATGTCGGCCCGCAGGTGGCTGGCTAACTACTGCTGCATACGATGGCTCTGACTCAATGGTGCGGAGCCGTCTCTCTAACTCAGACACCCTCGCCTCCAAAGCTAAAAATAAACTACATTTCTTACATGTATCATTATCACTAAAGGAGGACAAGGAGTAACTTAACATCTGACACGTAGAGCAGGAGAGGGAGAGACGGAAAAGAAGCCATTGTAAATAAAGCTAACTGCTAAGCTAGGCTAAGAGTAGGTAGCTAAAATAAACAAAACTGTTAAGCAGATTTATCGCTAGAGGGAAAGAGTGCTTTTTGATTACTTCTGTTTGTCTGAACATACAGTGTGTTGGAAACAACAGTCGTAAGAAACTGGGCAAAATTAACAACTAAGCTTTTAGCTCTAACGATCAGCACTGAGCAACACAGTACAGCTGAGAACAGAACAGGAAATGATGCAATACGCTCACCCGTAGTACGTAGCACGTAGCAGCTCCTCTGCTCCTTGAAGCTTGGTCATTTCTGGTCAAGTCCTTTTTTGGTAAAAGGACTGGGACTTGATCGTTATTGTTTTTCTCGTCTTCTGACTACTCAAAGCGCTGATTTTTTTAAATCAATTTTAACTTTCCTTTCTGGTAAAATTACGAACAGTGCCTCTAGTAAGAACTTGAAACTGTGACTTTGGACAAACGTTTTTACGTCATGCCACTCCTGCATGTGAGTGACCCTAGTGAGCCCCATCCAGTCAAAAAAGTCTGGACACGCCCCTGGATACCGTCCTCTCCTCTAGCTGTACTCGCTAGCTAGAGGAGCTGTACTCTATGTGCTGCTGTAGTTAGCTCAGCTGCTTCTTCTATGCCAAGAAGTCCGTGCTGATGATTGCTGAGCTGCCTGTTGGTCTGGTCTTTCAGATGACTAACTACCTTTTTGGAGCTTTCTTTATGTCCGTCATTCTGGGACAAGTAGTGTATTTTAAATAACACACAGACACGCCCTCTCCACAGGTACCTGCGTTGTTACTACTTCGCTGTCCGCAGTCTGATCAACATCGGGGGTCTACCTGAACCTCACACCGTCTTTGAGATCTCCTTTCAGATGACAAACTTTTTCACGGGCGTCTTTGTGTTCTCCAGTTTGATTGGACAGGTAAAAAATAGAGTCCCCTCATAGAGTCCCAGCATGGATATAAATTAGCATCTCCACGTTAGCATGTCATCACCTCTGTTTGTCTCATTAACATAGTGAAGTAGAGATAGATGATCGAGCCCTCACTCATCTTAGTTTTACTAACACCCCGTCACCGTCACTCCAGCTGTTTTTGTTCCTCATTGGTTCCCTGTGAAGTCTTGACTGTCAGAAAACGTGTGAAATGTGCTGAACGTGACATTTCAACAAGAAAAGTCATCAAATGTCTGGTTCATCTCTTTCTACACTATTATACGTCAGATGAGGGATGTCATCGGAGCAGCCACAGCAGGTCAGACCTATTTCAGGTCCTCCATGGACAACACCGTGTCCTACATGGTCAACAACCGCATCCCCTCTCAGGTCCAGAACCGAGTCCGCACCTGGTACACCTACACCTGGGACGCTCAGGGCATGCTGGGTCAGTAACTCTGGAGTCTTATTTTTCTTAAGTTGTTAAAAATTCAAATAAAACCCCTCTGTTTGTTCTTGGTGTTTCCAGACGAGTCTGAGCTGCTGGATAAGATGCCGCTGGTGATGAAAACCGCCATCGCTGTGGACATCAACCTCTCCACCTTCCAGAAGATCGATCTGTTCAAGGTGCCTGACACAAAACAATAAAAACAGACGTACGGAAGTTTGGACAGAAAGTAAACAAACATAACATTCCTCCTGCAGGGCTGTGACCAGCAGATGTTGGTGGACATGTTGCTGAGACTCAAATCTATCATCTATCTACCCGGAGACTTTGTGGTCAAGAAGGTCCATTTTGATCAGATAATAAACATGAATATGCTATATTGTGTATTTTCTGCATGTTAATGAGCGCCCTGTGCTGTGCAGGGAGACATTGGTAAAGAGATGTACATCATAAAGGGCGGGGCGGTGCAGGTGGTGGGAGGACCTGACAACAGCATCGTGTTTGTCACGCTGAAGGCCGGCTGTGTGTTCGGAGAGATCAGGTGAGATTAATCTGACATGTGGATAAGAATGAAAACACAGCGTTTAGCAGACAATCATAGTAAATCTAGCTTTTACAATCTGACATCAGAGATGTTTATTATGCACAAAACTGTGAGAAGTATACACATGGGCTCTGTCAATATCTCTTTGTGTATACAACTCTGTTCTTCTGCTTTTAGTAAAAAAAGATATGCATCAAAAGTTATTTATTTAAACAAAAAGGAAAGGACCCAGCACAGATCCCTGAGGAGCTCCACAGTGCAAACAATTACCAACATCTTCTGTTTCCTGTTGTATAAAAAGTTCTGTTTTTTCACTCTGTTGCTCCGTATAAAACATACCTTTAAATTGACTGTAGTGTTTAATGAGGAACTTGGAAGTATAACTATAAACCATTGACAAAGTCCTCACTCCAAAATGACTGAAAATATAAAACTTTTCCAGAAAACCAGAGATTGTCTGAGATCTTTAACCAATCACGTACGTCTTTGTTTCTCAGTTTATTGCAGTCGTCCAAAGACGGAGGAAACAGGCGAACGGCAAACGTAAAAGCTTACGGCTTCGCTAACCTCTTCGTCCTGGAGAAGAAGGACCTGTTTGACATCCTGGTCCACTACCCCGAGTCTCAGAAAGTTCTGGCCAGGAAGGGACGGTGAGTCTGAGCCCAGAAGATGAACCTGTTTAGATCATTCTGATGTTCCCATCTGAATTTGACTCCTCTGAAGGTGTGTTTAAGTCCTCTTATTTGTTGGGCGGGGCCTCCACTCGGATGTCCAGCACATCACACAGATGCTCAGTTGGATCCAGATCTTGGGATTTTGGAGGACATGTTGAGTTGTTCCTCCAGGCCACCTTCTTCAATCACTCTGTAGTCCAGGTCTACTGCTCACGTGCCCACTGTTGTGGTAATTGATGTTAGACAGGGGTCGGCGTGGTTACCCTAAAAGGTCTAATGCCCCAAACATAAGAACTGTGTGTTCTGACACCTTTCTATCAGACATGGAGCACAGCATTAGTTCAGGCAGGTCAAACTCGACTGTCATGCCAGAGTTTTGGTAACAGTTGATTTGCTTCAAAGCGTCTAATTGGCCAAATAGTACATATGCCACCTTATTTAAACTGCTCTAGCCTGCCTACTTTTGCTGCTCCCTCTGCAAGCCGGAAGGTCGAGGGTTCGATCCCCAGCAGGACAACATGTCCAATGTGTCCTTGACCAAGACCGAATTGCTCCCGCTGCTTGGGTGGCTGTGTATGAATGGGATTAGTTACTTCTGATGGATGATTCTACCATCAGTGTGTGAATGTGTAGGTGTGACATGCAGTGTAAAAGCGCTATATAAGCTCTAGTCCATTTACCGTTTACCATCAATGTCATGCTTGTCATTGATGCTCTTTGGGGGTTTGCTGCTTCTCTCCCTGCCTTGTAGCTTTCCTTGTATGCACGGGTAGGGCAGGAATGTGTGCTGTTCCTGCCTCATGCTTTCCAAGTAAGCACGTGGAAGGGCAGAGAGATCCCATACAGAACCATACCGCCAAATATAAGAAAGTTCAATTAAGTAATTTACTTGACAATTTAAGTGATCCTGACTGAACTACTGTTACTAGTGTAGCTAGTAGCCACACCAGTAGTTCTTCTGTTGGATCAGACCAAGCCAGCCTTCAGTCCCCAAATGCATCAATAAACCCGGCCGCCCATAACAGTGTTCATGGTGGACCTGTTTTCCTTCGTTGGACCACCTTTGGTCTTTCTGAACACCCCAAAGAACTGCTGTTTAACGATGCTCTGAGGTTGTCTCTTCTCAAAGTTCTCATGTCCTCACACTCGCCTGTTTTTCTCGGCTTTCAACACGTCAATTTCAAGAACAAGATGTTCACTTGCTGCCTAACATATCACACCTGCACACCCAACAGGTGCCTCTGTTAAGAGATGCTCAATGTTAGCCACTTCAACTGTCAGTGGTCAGATTGAAAAACATCCCATAGTCACTGCAGACATTCACAACCGATAAAGACGACATCTGTAAGATAAAAGTCATGACACAGTGTAAATAAGAGAGCACATGCCTATATGAGGGAGCAAGGAATGTGCTATAGTGTCATCTGGATAATGATGAATATTCAAGTCTCTCATTTTTTTATCAAACCGTGAAAACTGTTGTGATCCCACAAAAGATCCCTGGGGAACTAACTAAAAGAACCTGTGGGGTGACGTCACCTCCTGTCTGAATGGCATGATGTTGAAAGTCTTCATCTACAGTTCATATAAAAAAGTGGAAAACATCTCAGCATCACTTTTACCAATGAAAGGATTCATGTTGACCGTTATTTTCTTTCTAACAGTTAATCTTTACAAACAAAATCAGATTCTTTTGAGATCAATTCTTCTTTTTCGCCCTCAGGGGCCATTATCATGTTTATGTCTTTCATGAAATCTTCACCTTTTTCCCACTCTTAGAATACTTGAGTGAACTGATCAGTTTTTCAGAGCATCCGACCGATGTGTTCCTAACTTTGAGCCTTCCTGTCTGTTTCTATGTTCGTACAGGAAGTTAATGAAGGCCAAGGGTCCTGCAGCCGCTAAAGTAGATGAAGATAAGAAGAAAGGACTCGCTCTGTTTGGACCCAAACCTCCAACGCCCAAACTGCTGCGAGCATTTGGAGGAAATTTTAACAAAGGACTTATCGAGAAAATGAAGGTAACAATACTCTTATTCTGAAAGTCACCACTCTTATTCTGAAAGTCACCACACATATTCTGACCGTTAGACTAACCATCATTATTTCTGTGTCTCCTGCTCAGAGTACCGCTGCAGGCCAATGAGGACTATGAGGAGAATCACTTTATGACTCCTTTTTGGGAGTCAGTGTACAGTTTGATGTTAACCCTTTGAGTTTGATTTTAACCCTTTGAGTCCTGTTTTGTACCGAGTGTTTTAAAAGAAATATTTTGTTATATGTAAACGTGAAAAATCTGACCATATATGAGACTCATATATATATGACCATATGAGAACATCAAATAATGCCATCTTAGGTAATGTGAGAGAAAGACTAAGCAGCTCTGGTTAAAATGTTTGTTGAGAGGTAGCTATAAACCATTACAAAACTGAACTCACTGATCTGGAGGTCAGAGTTGAATTGCATCATGCACGAGTGAAAACAGTGATTTAAACTTCTAAAGTGAGTGTTTAAATTTGTATGAAATTTAAAGCATGCAGACAGTTTAAATTGTACTACAGTGGATGTAAACATGTGACTGAACGTCCTCTGTTGTCAGTTCTAAACCTGAACTCTGTACATTTCTTCATCTTCTCCGCATGCAGATAAATAACACTCACTGTATGAAATGTGTAAATGAGTTTAAAAAAATAAATAGCTCTGTGATTGAAGTACGGTGTGACTCCGACTGCTTTGTTGTGTTTCTCCGTTCAGACAGAGAGAGAGAGCTGCTCATGCTAATCCTGTTAGCCACACAGAGACTCTGTGTGTTTGTGAACTCTGCAGCCTGAAGCGACCCAGCAGCATCAGGATCCGTTTCATTTAAAGAGAAACTTCCAGGTCTTCTTTCAAATGTTATCTCTCTTTTAAATAATCAGACTCCTGCACCTCTAGTGTGAAACAAAGACAGAAGATCAATAAAGAATCTATCTCTTGAAAAAAGAAAGATGCTAAGTATTCTAGGAGTCCCTCTGACTGCTCTTTGGTCTGGCGTGGATTTATGGCGTGCCCTGTTGGCGTGCCCTGTTGGCGTCCCGTGGCTCTCCTTGGCAGTGATTGGCAGTTGGTCTGGTGTTGACTCCTGCTGAGAGGGGAGTGTCTTGCAGGGAATTAATGTCTCAAAGACTCTTCATGATCTCAGTCGTGTGTTTGGATTAGAGAGGAGGACTTCAGAGCATCCAAACACTCTGATAAGGACCGGCTCAGGACAGGGCGTGGACGGGCTGTAGCCCCCTCTGAGCGCCGACATGTTCAGCAGGCTGAAGAAGTTGATCCGGGCTCCGGAGCCTCCCCCTGCCCAAGCTGCTCCCTCACCTCCTCCATCCCCGGCTGCTCCTGCTAAGGTAAGGCATGTCTCTATCAGACCAGTTCCAGACTTTAACTCACCTTGATTCACCTGGACTCTGTTCAGTCTGCTGCCTAAACATACCTGCACCTTAAATTAAGCAATCGATCACGTTTCATTTAAAAAACAACAAATCAGAAGGTTTCTCTATATGTCTCCAAACGTCCAACCAGATGCAAGCTCTGAACACACGAGTCGTTTCAGGTGAACAGCTGAACAGGTGAGAGCAGAGATCAGGGAAAGCTTCTGAAGCAGATCGGCTGTGATTGTTGATCTCTGCAGGCTGCACACACACAGACACACACACACACACACAGACACACACACACACACACACACACACGCACACACACATACACGCACACACGCACACACACACACGGACACAGACACACGCACACGCATACACGCATACACGCACACACACACACAGACACAGACACACAGACAAACACGCACGCACGCACGCACACACACACACACACACACAGACACACACACTCATGCATACACACACACGTACACACACACGCGCATACACACAGACACACACACACACACACACACACACACACACACACACACACACACACACACACACACACACACACACACAGACACACACACACAAACACACACACACATACACACACACACACGCGCACACACACGCACACACACACACACACACACACACACACACACACACACACACACACACACACACACAATGGGCCTGCAAGCTGCATAGGCACGGCTATGACCCTAAACGGAAGAAGTCCGAGTTAGGATGGATTTAAACGTGGACACTTTGGATGAGTGTTTTTCAGCCGGTCTTAACACTGTGAGGGGTTTTGTCTACATGTAAGTCTTTGAACCCTGTAGGGGCCGTGGACCAGCAGAGAGTCCACTCAGTTTAACTTTTTAATCTGCATTGTTTCCGAATAAGCGGCAGGTTTACTGTCAGCCACCGTAGCTGTTCCCCGCTCTCCATCTGCACACTGGAACCTTTGTTGTGTATTTACAGGCGGAAAAGCCCCCTGAGAAGAAGGATGAGAAAGAGCAGCCAACGAAAGAGGAGGAGAAGAAAGAGGAGGTGAAGAAAGAGGAGGAGCCTAAAAAGGAAGAGCCAACAGGTGAGAAGTGTTCTCAAACTGAGGCGCTCTCTTACATAATCTTTAATTCTTTCAACCTGCAAGAAGTAAAAAGGCTCCATTGGGATGATTTCCCTTTATAATGTTGGTGTTTAACTGAATTATTCTATGTTTTCTACCAGCTCCTGCTGCAGCTCCTGCTGCAGCTCCTGCTGCAGCTCCTGCTGCAGCTCCTGCTGCAGCTCCTGCTCCTGCTCCTGCTGCAGCTCCTGCTTCTGCTCCTGCTGCAGCTCCTATTCCTGCTCCTGCTCCTGCTGCAGCTCCTGCTGCAGCTCCTGTTCCTGCTCCTGCTCCTGCTCCTGCTGCAGCTCCTGCCGGTGCAGAGGGATCTAAAGTGTAAGAATTCCTCTTCTTGCCAATTTTTCTTGCTGGGATAGGCTGATGCAACGAAACTGTGTATGAGATGTGGACGTGCTCAGTTTGAAATCACATGCTGGTCTGCTTTGAAGCCGAGCGTTGGTGTTTAGTTTGGTCTTTGTTGCTGGAAGTGATCATGTAGTGAGCTGGCATCCAAAGCAAACAGCAAGTGTACAAAACAGAAGCCAATGCTAAACTTCCGAAAACTACAGTTCCTTGAGCGTCCACTTGAGGCCATCTGCCAAAGCTAAGAAGTTACTTTTAGGTCCTATATTGAAATTACATTTTGTACCAACAGTAATAAGCACCATTAGTGTTTTAGTCTCTTTAGCTCATCATCATTCAAAAGTTATAAACCATCTGTTTGGATTATTTGAAGGATGGGTATGTTGTAGTTGTTTGTCAGGAGGCTAAGCCCCGCCTCTTTGCCTGTTTCTAGATTGATCACCAAGGGCCTTTCAGGTGGGCGCAACGTGTCAAGCCAATTCATTGTCTATTGTGTTGCTCCACGCAAGAGTGTATCACCCAAACTCGCCCTGAGGATTTCATGAACACACCCTCTTCTTCTCTGCTGCTCGTCTCCTCCTCAGCAGAACAGATCAGAGCTTTCTACTTATTAGTGGACAGAAACAAATACTGCGCGTCCAAAAAGTAACTTTTTTCCCGACTATTGTTTCGGTCACCTAGCAACGGGCGCAGTTGCTTTTTGGTCGTGTGTGCGCTCCCCTTCTGCTCTGAGCCCTACTCCACAGCAAGCTCAGCTCGCTCCGCCTCACAGCTGAGAGGCACTTTGGCTTCATAAGCCTTCATCAGTGATGTCACTGAGACACACGTCCATGTTTTCTAGCATCATTAGCTATAGTGCTAGCTTGTTTTGCAATAAGCATCCATTATTCACAGTAGCTGTTTTATGAATGGCGAGCTAACTTCGGTTAGCCTGTGATGTCTTTAGTAAAGAGAGAGATTTCTCAGATCGCCATCGTAGCAACCTGTCAAGCCGAGGTAGCCCCGCCCTAACCCCTCCCCCTCCCTCTGCTCTCTCAGCAGCTCTGATCTCTCTGAGGCTGCAGCCCAGGACTCCTAAAGAAGGAAAGCAGATTAGGAGCTTAGCGTTATGACTGAGTGAGAGCGAGCAAAGAGACTCTTTATTTATACTCTACAGGATATATTTAGAGGTGTTCTTGTGCAAACACACATTAGTTGAGTTAGAATTAAACTCTCTAAGAAGTTCAAATATTTTATCTTTGAGGTTAACTAAGAAAAAGAAATCAAAGCTGTGTGCAGCTAACATCTTATAACAGTTTTGATAAAAACAGGAAAGACACTTTTACACTCTTAGGCTGTATATAAGAAGGACGTCATCATCTGCTTTCTTAGAGTCTGGAGTCACTACATCATGTCGGTCTCCCTCTGGAGTTTAAATTCATGGTGTGACTGCCCGTCTCCGAGTGACGTCTGCAGGCGTATCGTGTGTTCTCTGGTGGGACATAGACAGCTGATCTACTCGCCCAAATCCACAAATGATCTGAAGTTAACTTCCTCTTCTGTGTCTCTCAGCATGTCTGACTCTCTCCTCGATGTCCGACTCTCTCCACGATGTCAGACTCTCTCCTCGATGTCTGACTCTCTCCTCGATGTCCGACTCTCTCCACGATGTCCGACTCCTTCCTCGATGTCCGACTCTCTCCTCGATGTCCGACTCTCTCCTCGATGTCCGACTCTCTCCTCGATGTCCGACTCTCTCCTGGATGTCCGACTCTCTCCTCGATGTCCGACTCTCTCCTCGATGTCTGACTCTCTCCTCGATGTCCGACTCTATGTCGACTCTCTCCTCGATGTCCGACTCTCTCCTCGATGTTCGACTCTCTCCTCGATGTCTGACTCTCTCCTCGATGTCAACTCTCTCCTCAATGTTCGACTCTCTCCTCGATGTCGACTCTCTCCTCGATGTCTGACTCTCTCCTCATGTCTGACTCTCTCCTTGATGTCCGACTCTCTCCTCAATGTCCGACTCTATGTCTGACTCTCTCCTCGATGTCCAACGATGTTCGACTCTCTCCTCGATGTCCGACTCTCTCCTCGATGTCGACTCTCTCCTCGATGTCCGACTCTCTCCTCGATGTCCGACTCGATTTCCAACTCTCTCCTCGATGTCCGACTCTCTCCTCGATGTCCGACTCTCTCCTCGATGTCCGACTCTCTCCTCGATGTCCGACTCTCTCCTCGATGTCCGACTCTCTCCTCGATGTTCGACTCTCTCCTCAATGTCTGACTCGATGTCCAACTCTCTCCACTGTCCTGTCTCTCAAAGAGAGGCAAAAAGGACTCTTTTTAATCTTCAGCTTTTATCAGCCTCTCTTGATTCAGAGTATTAGAAAGAATGATGGTTTAAACTTTTCTTCTTCTCTGTCTGATTAACTACTCATGTAGCCGGTTTCTCAGCAGTAAATTGTGATTTCTAATCACTGATTTAATTTCATGTTTCTTGTGATATTCTTCTATTGTCAGTGAAGAAGCTCCGCCCCCTCCTGTGGTCTACTTCCGCAACACATGACGACACCCCTCCGAGGTTTGATCAAGAACTTAAGAGAGCGAACTGCAGTGCTCAGAGAGAAAGCCATCGACCCGTACGCCACCTCGCCAGAGATCACCCCACCTGT